CAAGTGAATGTTTGTGCCAAACTTGGAGAAATTCTTACAAGGCATTACTGAGATATCTGGTTCATGAGAATGGGCAAACAGACAGAAAAACATACCAAAAACCCCAAAACATAATGTCTCCGGCATGGAGGCAATAATAACAACAACAATTTAGAGTAAACTAAACTGGTAGTGTATTACAGCTGGACTGGACCAACACACTAACTATTCCTATGGATCACGGGAGATACAAGAAATGCCGTAAGGAGACCGAAAACCTAACGCGAGGTAATGCATAAGTATCGTGAGGGAACACGAAAGTAGTTCAGAAAGAAAAATTCCTGCTGTGACACTTCAGCTGTGAGCTGTGATTTATTGTTGGGAGTTAAAGGGTTAAAGTGTTGGTATGTAGCTTACATACATTAGGCTTTGTAGCTGCTGAATGATGTTACACCTCCTCAAAACTGTGACTGCATGTCAAGGCTTCGGTGGCTGTGAAAACACCACGTGGAGCCTGACAGAGCAAGTGGTTTCTCCCACAGCATAGACGCAGTAATCCTCTGCTTCTCAGCATCACACGTCCAGCAAAGCCATCGCGCGGCAGATCGTCACAGTGAATGGAAGAAAGTAAAACAGACGTAACCTCCGGCTCTAGAAAAACACAGAACCAACGAGTACAGTTATTATAGGGACCGGAATGAAAGCGTGATACGATACATCCACGTAGCGCTGTGTGATAAAAAAAAACCAAAAAAAAAACCTGCGCTACAAGTTTCTCTGAAGGCAACCCCATTAACCTCTTGCGTGACCTACTCTTTTTTAAAAGATTATTTCCATTTTAAGAATTCATCTATGAAAATTAAATTCAAAAAAGACAAACAGATGGATGCAGAGAGGGGTTTTCTCATTTTTGTCCCAGAATGCCCTCACACCTGCCGACCTACCAACCCAGCAGAGCAAGGAGGTGATTATCGTTCGTTACTATCAGAGGAGCACGCTGTCATTTTATTTCAGAGCCAGACTTCCTCGGGCCTCTCCGGAGTTCCTGATATAGGCGTAGCAGTTAATGAGGGAAATACCCAAAGTTAAACCGAGCATGGGAGCCTGAGAGGGTAGAGAGGGGGAGGGAGGTCCGGAGAGACTGGAACGTGAGAAAAAAAAAAAAGGAGCAGGAGAAAGGAGAGAGATGACAAGAAGTGGCAGAGTTGTGGGTTTTCCTGGAGGACGGAGAGTCGTCGTATCTCTGCTCTGGCTGTGTGGGTCTCTGGCATGATGATTTGAGACAGAAAATGAAAATCACATTGCCAGGGATTACTACACTGCTATGGTGTCTGCTACTGCTGCTTCTGGAGCTGGAGGAAGATATGCAGGTACTTGTTTTTGTCATTCCAGAAGCGTGTCTGACTTTTTTTTTTTTTCTTTTCCTTCCTGTCCTGTTCTTATTAAACATTTCTAAGAGGAGGGAGTTTGTCCAGCTGCCAGTCTGTGAATCACGCTCCAAGAAAAACTTTTTTTTTTCTGAGGCAAGATCAAAAGAATAGTGTGTTTGTGTTGTGTCATGTGTGTATCTGCTGTTTCTGATCAGGTGCAGAGCTTAGTCGACTGCTGAACAGGGAGTCTTACCAGTTTGTTCACAGTGGCTAAGTTCTTCACTTGTACAGAGATAATTGGGATGTATGACAAGAAGTCTGTAGTTCCTGACCTACTAAAACTGTATATATATATATATGTCTTATCATACAGCATATGTGGTATAATTTTAAATATTTTCATTCGCAAAACTAACAAAATCAGAAGATTGTGTTGTCAAACTGTAAGATGTGATATTATGAAGATTTCTCTTTTCTTCCCTTTAGCATATTGAAATATTTAATCTTTATATCATTATACTCTTGTTGTGTTAAAGGATATGGTTGGTAATAATTAGTTCTTATTGTAAACAAATTAAAAACATTAAAAACAATGACCTGATCCTACTAACAAGTATTGTCTGTGTAGCAACAAGCTGATGTAATATATTTTGTTCTTCTGTGCCACAGAGCTCCATAGCAGCCAGGTGTCCGTAGCCAACAATGCTGTTTGCATCCGGGGCGGACAGCCGGTGTGGCTATTTACACCCAAGCATTAGGCTCTCCTGGACCACTTCAGTGAGTCAAATGGAAGAAGTTCAGGCTTTCTAACGTGGGGTTGCGGTGAAAGGGTCTATTTTAACCAGAACTATGTTGTTATATGTTGATATGCTAACCCTGACTGTTTGGGGGGAAAAAAAACCCCAAAACAAAACAAACAAAAAAAAGAACGAACAAAAACAACAAATAAAACAAGAGGCTTAGAGAGCCACTGGGTGCTCCATACGGGTGTGAATAGCCAAATAGCTGCCCTGTGACTATTTTCACCTGGCTGACATGTCCTTTCATTATCATGAACACACACACTGCAGTTTGTCTCATTCCCACCTACACCTTCCTGTTGCACTAAATGTGGATCAATCTGCGGATGAAAATAGTCCCCAGCAGATGCACTATTTACTCCTGTCTGAGTAAAGTAAACTGCTGTGATAGGAAATTACTGAGCAATTTGTGAACCATTCTCAAAGATTTACATCAGATTTACATGCTGCGAGCAGCAGACAGGGCAAGGAAGTCAGAAAGTATCAAGAGACTGACTGTAAAGTTGGTTTTGGTCTTTTCACAGGATTTGTTGACAAAAGGATTAATATAGAATAACACCAGCCTTCTCCTTTAAGTGGTCCTCACTGTCATATGTCATCATGGTCATGATCTCAGGTTAAACAACCTTAGAGGTGTGATATACTGTAAGCCCACACTTAAACCTGGGGTAAATCTTTTGGTTAATTTAATGTAGGAATGTGGAGGAAATCTTGATCTATTGTAGATCTGTCTATGGAAGGGGACTGGAGTTAAGCATACGTTTAGTCTAGAAAGTTTTAACACAGGATCAAAAAGCTGATGGACAGGACAACACTATTTTTAGGTTTTGTACTTAAAGGAATTTGACCAAACAATCCTGAGTTATTTTGTTGAGAAAATATATTGGAAACAAACAAACAACCAACTTAACAAAACAATCCATCAACTATTGCTGAAAAAAGGAATGAGCTATTCTTATATAAATAGCTTTCTTTTGTATTCTTTTCAGCTTCAACATTATGGGATGCCTGTTACTACAATAAAGATGAAGAACATATTTTCATTTGTGCATATACTTTGTAAATATATTTGAAAATGTATCCTTATGTTGCATGATAGAGTAGCGATTCCCAACCACGAGTACTAAAACTAAGTCCGCACTGCTGTGCTTAGGACAAGACAAATCGGGTTATGCATTGGCATGAGTTTTTTCTTTACTATATTGACATATACAAAAAACAATTAACTACCAGCACAACTTGGTTTAACACTGACCTGAGACAGTTGTGACACCTTTACACGACACGTTGCTGTTGTGTGGGTATGAAATAGTTAAAACAGCTACTGGCAATCCAAATGGGACTGAAAAAAGAAAAAGAAAAAGAAAAAGAAAAAGAAAGAAAACAAAGACCAAGCTTAAATCTGAAAATTTCAGTATCTGCTCTGTATTTTTCTGTTTCCCCTTACAGTGAAACACGCTGGATAAACTGGGATAGTTATTTTAATGTAAATAGATCCATGAAAGGCTCTGTTCTACCCTCTGTCTGCTTCAAACAGCTACATGAAGCATTTGCTTTATTGGAGAAGATAAATATTTATCCAATGTTTACTTGAGGTTTCTTAACTTCTGTCCTTTGTTGTGCAGGATAAGTGCTAATGTCGAACGTTGCCAGCTGAACTTTTTCTCCCTTTGAACAATTAGAAGATCACATTGAATGGCAAAGTTGTGTTTACTTTTCCTTAGGGCTGATGTTAAAATATAAACTAATATCATAATGTTAAATAAGGTTCACTGGAAATAAAAAAAGACTGTTGCCTGCGAGTAATTACATAGAAATGAATTTCCCTAATGCCACATGTGCAGTCTCTAGACCGTGGCTTTAACATTACTCTGAGGAAACATCTGGCCTCCCTCTTGTGCCTTCTGAGCTGACAGCAGTTTGATCTAACACACTGGCTCAGTTCAGCAGGAACAGGAGTCTAGTCAACACACAGCATTTTGTCATTAATATCAAGGAGATGAACTGTGGAGACATCATGAGGGGGAAAAGTACAGTGAACCTGTGACGTGCCATGAGGAGACCTGAGCCCATCAGTGTCTATAATGGCACAACTGATCCCTGAGTGAGTATGATGAGTTATGGTTTTATATGTTCGTTGTTATTTAACGGTAGTTTATGTACAAGTACAACATCAACATCTATATTATAAGATTGTCTGTCTGCATTTTTTTTTACCATATACAATGGCAACAGAAGAACCCAAAGGCAGCTGGTGGATTTGATGGTTGTTCAGAATTCACACTCATGGGTGTTTGCTGCCTCCTACTGGCTACGGAGGGGAACTACTACAACTACACAATATTAATCTCTGTTATGATAAAAATTGGATTATGCTCAAAGTTCAGAGGGTGATATATTCTGTTATTGGTGTTCAACTTCGTACAGATGTAACTAACAAAAATGAAGCAGTCAAACAGTTTAACCTGTCAACAAAGAATGAATAAATATTCACAATTAATGTTTATATAAAATGTATTATAAATGTAAATGTTCTGAACATAATTTGTGGGGATTAAAAAAATGTGATAGCACAAGAACATGGGAGCAGACAATGTAGAACAGGAACCAGACAGGATTTCAATCCCAATAGTATTCCCAAACTTGTTTCTAAATTTTCAGGGCTATTTTTAATTTAATTAAAAATTTTCCAAATGAATGGTTGAGAATAAAAATTTAGGGAGCCCCAGGATAACCCTGCTGTAAACATGCGGTACCACTTCATCTCTTGTGGAGGGCAGAAGTCCAACTACTACTAGAATGCAACTACTCTGGTGATAATCACACGAAGAAGAAGAATGAGGAACTGCAACATGACAGTAGCACAACTTGTCCAGTGCAGAGAAAAAGATTTCCATTTGGGAGTACTATGAAAAACTAAATTAAACCGTTAGGGCTACTCACAAACATGTTCAGCGTGGAGACGTTTCAGAGCCACATATGTGCTATAATGAAGGCTCTGGTGGAGGCTGGGGTGACGGAGCTCAGCGGACTTCTGGAGCAGCACTGGGCTAACGTCATGGCCGCCGCTCGGTACCGCTCTGCTCCGGCGGCAGAGACGGTGGTAAAGAGCGAAGAGGAGGAGGAGGGAGAAGTGACTCTACCGGAGCAGAGACAGCAGCTTAATACAGCTATAACGGTAACACGTGCGCGCACACGCATACACACTGTTGTCTGATGTTAGCTTACATGAGAAGGAGCAGTTAGCCAGGGTTTTTATACAACACTCGTACATTAACAGCAGGTACACAGAAACTGTCCAAACAAAGTTACAAGAGAAAGAAAAGAATATTAAGAAAAATTCAAAACTCATTTCAAATTCAAAACATATATGTCATTAAAAAAGACCAAACACACAATTATTTCCTAAGGTAAGGGTCTATCTATTTAACATATTGACATGTTGATGCAGTTCTTGATGCTATTTGCACCCACCTATCCACAGCAAACAATGCTATTTGCACATGTATAAGTATGACAGAGACAAGCACCCAGGTGCCCATAGCCTATATGGTATTTGGTTATGGTATGGTATTTGCACTCAGGAGTCTGTAGCCAACAGTGGTATTTACACCTGGGATGGATAGCCACCCTGTGCATGACACTTATTAAAGGGTGCAGTGCAACAATGTGTGCATTAATGGTCAAATAGCTGCCCTGTGACTATATACATACACTATATATATACATACATACATACATACATACATACACTATATATATATATATGTGTGTGTGTGTATGTATATGTATATGTTTATGTTTATGTTTATGTCTATGGGAGGTCCTTGTCCGACTGGAAAGCCAAGCGGAATGTTAAGTTTGTGTTTCCAGTCGGACACGGACCTCCCCGACCAAGCCTACTGTTTGGCTGTCGGAGAACATGATGTTTAACTGCACGCTATTGTCGTCTTTTTTTTTTTTTTATCAAAGTATTCCCCGACATCAGTTTCCCTGGTCCCGGCTGCGTACTGGTACCCATCCCCAGTGCAAACAGACACATAAAAACAAAAGCCCAAAATTTGGTTAGGTGTAGCCCACGTCTTCTTGTGAATGTGGAATTTACCCAATAATAAAATTAACTGCATAAAAAAATAATAATCTCATTACCTTCAAATATATTTAATGTCTCATATGTATGTACATATGTCTTATTCTGACATTTAATTGTTTTCCCAGTTTTCTGTTTTATATAATACTGAACCGCCACCTAAAATGTCATGGTACACATCTTTTATTACTGAGACAAAATTCATCCCCAACTCACTCAATTTTCTGCCAATTAATTTCTCCATAAAGCGAAGCCCAAACGGATCTTTCTGGGGGCAGAGTTACAGCTTGTGTGTAATTCCTGATGTTTTTATTCAAGCATTTATTCTTGGTAATGTCATCTTCTGCAAGGAATATACCAGAAATAAATGGATCGATCATTGAACCGCTTGGCAAAGAATAAAAAAACACTGCATATTCTTTTGGCATAAATTGTAACCTGAATTTGGAATTCATTATACATTAGTAACTATATAATTATTGTAATGTTATTATTTATTTTTACATCGAATATTCTTGTTATTCTAACTGTATTAATTAGTTGGTAAAAATTATGTTTGTAAATAAATTTCTAGGCCACCAAAGCTTATTTTTATTTATTTTATAATGAAATGTATTGATATCATGTACAAAAATACATTAATCTCAATAGAGAATAAAGATTCTTTGTACCAGATTTAGCGAATAGCTAATTTCCATCTGCAGTCCCTGGGCAGGGGAAGGAAACAACAAAACACAGAGCAAAACCTAACATCACCACTACAAATAGGCCAGCATCCTGTTCAGACATTCACAGACATACACACACACACAAACACAAACACACAATAATGCACTTCATTGGAACAAAGACAAAACATGTAACTTATCAGGTAACTTATCAATTTTGTAGTAGCACTTTAGTAGAAATCAGACTCCACTCATTAACCTAAATACATAATGTAATGTTGTTAATGTTGTCTTTTTCTTTAGTGAAATTAAAAGACCATTTCACTTTGAGAGTATTATATAATGTTTGAAAACTTAGTACCTCCAGATGATCCTTTCTTTATGTTGCATTAGATGTCCTTTCTTAATAAAATAATGACATGTGGGTAATCAGAAATTCAATGATAAAGACACCTAGACAGATCTGGATATTCCCTCAGCTTTAGATAGCAGAACTCAACCATTCGATGAAAGATCCCTCATCATGAAATTATTTTCTGTGGGTCAACAAATCAGTTAATTACTTTTAACTAACTTACCTTGTTTCCCTTCATTCGTTCTTACCTATGACTTTACAGAACCAGTTTGCATTGCTCATGGAAGCATTGACCAAAGCAGCAGTAGAGAAAATATTGATGATCTTAAAAGTGTCCATGTGTGAAGCTCAGGGTGGTCCTGCTGCAGAGCAGAGACCCGGACTGAACAACAAGACTCAACAGACAAGCAAGAAGCCGACGGGAGGGCGAGGGGCCAGGCCCAAAAAGCGTAAGTTAGCAAACAGCTCAAGTGGCTATAGAGAGACTTTTGGATCTTCACACTCTTGTTGTTATGTATTTAACAACAAGGTTTTATGCTCTTGTTAAATCTCAGAATCAGAAACCAAAATTTGTCGTCAGAAGGGGAAGAAAACTGAGGGAGGACTTCAACCAGCGATAAGAAAGGAGAACTACCACATGTATTACCGAGGTATTACACCAGCTGCTATGTGATGTGATTTCTTATTGAAATACAAATGATACATGAACCAAAAAGTTCAGTTTGAACACAGTGAATCATTGCTACATGTAAGCACTGTAACACTATTATATTTCAGTAGTTTCAGGTCATTATTCTAATTGCTGCATTTCTGAATCAGTGGTAAGAAATCGTCAACAAAACTCTGTTGCTGTTTGAAGGGTTGCAGCAGATAAACAGATGGATGGATGAAAAGCTAGATAGATAGATACTTTATTTATCCCCTAGGGGAAATTCATGATAAATAATGGGCCCGCTCTATCAAATGACACTCACAAAATACAATGTGATCAAATAATACACAATGATCAAATCTTGTTTTGAATCCCTCAGTAGATATTATATCTTAACTTGAGATTCACTGATGTTGATGTCATGTTTGTGTTTTTAGAAGAGCAACAGACTGAGAAAGCAAAAGCAGCAGCTGAGTCAGAATCAGTGATCGAACCAGGTAACTACTGATTCTTTACAAACCAGCAGAGCGGTAACTTTCTCTGTGTGTGACAACAAGTTCATATTTATTCATTCATTAATTTAACCAGGAAGTTTCTTGGGACATACAGTATTATGTATTTTGCAAGACAGACCTGAACAAAATGGTCTGGTAGAGTAGTCTACACATGTAGTTATCTTACAACACACACACATAGCATGAAACGAAAGGACCTAAGAGGCATAAAAGAAAGACAACACATTGTGAAACGTGCGGATGTGGCGTTTCAATGTGTGATGTTAAGTCCAGGGTGTTTAGTACAATATTGCAGTCTAACTGAGTTCAGATCAGACTCTGGGAACACTGATGGTTGTCCATGTAGTGGGACAGCTGTTAGAAACAGGAAGAATTTAACAGTAGACAGTAAGATCACCAAGTGTAAAAAGTGCATATGAATCCGCCACTGTATTTTTACTGAGGTCCATCCAAATGAATCCAGAATAAATGATAAAGATGAAAGATAGACAGGATCAATCCTATGTGGTAATGTATAATGTCTGTGAAGTATACTGCCATTACTTTTGCCATTTGTAATTTTTTCTGTTCCCTTTAAATTCACACTGAAGTAAAGATAACTTTTGTTTTCCTGCTTCTCACTGAATCACTTTCACTTCCTGAAAAACAAAACATTTATTTGGTAAATTCATTGCAGCATGTCAGTAGTATTAAAAACATTAAACATTAATGTTTTGAAATAATATTTTAATCTGTTGTGAGGGGCTGTGTTTGTTTGTTCTGTGTGTCAAATCCCCTAACAAAGCTTTCCTTTTGTTTCAGCTGATGTGGCCACACATAGAGAGAGTAACTCTGGATCCCTGTCTAAACATGAAGCCTTGTTAACAGAGCCCACGTCAGAGCCGGCCCCTGACCCGTCTCCTGAGCCGGCCCCTGAGCCGGCCTCTGATGTCAGTGAGGACGATGTCATCCAGGAGGATAGAGACACTTCAACTACCGCATCCAAGATCAAAAAGAAGAAGACCACAGCGCCTTTCAAATGTCCTTCTTGTGACAAAACATTTGCTCTCAAGTGTTTGATGGACCGGCACTACCTGACTCACTCCAAGCCTCACCTCTGCTCCGAGTGTGGCAAACGTTTTGCCGGACTCCGGGGGCTCATCGCACATTCAAGACGCCACACTGGAGAGAAGCTTTACAAATGCTCGGACTGCGGGACAGAGTTTGCTTACAAGAGCACCTTCGAGAGACACATGCGTCAGCACAGCCTGAAGAGACCGAACACCCACACGTGCACGCTGTGTGAGAATCAGTTTGCCGGGGTGCTGGCGTTTCAGAGGCACAGGTGTTGTGCCCTGAAAAAGACATTTGTCTGCTCTGTTTGTCCAGAGATATTTGAGTGCAGAAAGAGTTTGGCAGATCATGAGAATCTACATTCAGGAGACAGAGATTTTGTCTGTGAAAGCTGCGGTGAGAGTTTCTTCTCGTCCTCATCCTTGGCCATTCACCGGGTGACTCACATCCAAAAGGAAAACTGCTGCGAAGTGCTCGGCCTCGGATGCAGCGACATGAGCGTCCTCAAAAATCACCTGAGCAAACACACCGGAGAAAAACTTTTCATCTGCGAGGTTTGCGGTAAAGGCTGCAGTCACCGGAGCGCGCTGAAGCACCACATGCTGACCCACACGGGAGAGAGGTCGTACGTCTGCGAGACCTGTGGCAAACGCTGTGGCCACGCCAGCGCGCTTCAGAACCACATGCGGATCCACACGGGGAAGAAACCGGGGCAACAGCCGGTCTGCAACGTGTGCGGGAAAAAATTTCGGTGCACGGTCAATCTCAAATATCACATGAGCATCCACACGGGGGAGAAGCCTTATGCCTGCGATCAGTGTGATAAGAAGTTCAGCAACCCCAGCAATCTCAAGCTGCACATGAGGATTCACTCTGGAGAGAAGATGTACGGCTGCAACATCTGCAGCAGGAGGTTCACTCAGTCCAGCAGCCTGAAGCTGCACAGGCGGATCCACACTGGAGAAAAGCCGTATTGCTGCTCGGTCTGCGGGAAAGGATTCATACACAGCAGCGACTTCAAGAAACATCAGAGGGGTCACCTGCCAGAGGAACCTGGGGATGGACAGTCTGAAAAAACTGCAGTGAAAACTTAAAACCTTTCACTGCAGCACGCTCACTTATTGCACTGAGCATTGATATGGATTGTTTATGTTTGCACACATTGGAGTTCAGGCTGGGCAATGTGACCATAAACACTGTGAGACAATAGAAATTTGTTGAGTGCCAAAGATTTTATAATTCTGTTTTGCTGATCAGTCAGTGGGACTGTTTTATGGCAGTATAATCTTCAGGAGTTGAAATGGTTATTTTGTTTCTAGGAAGTTTTCTGTGGGTAAAACACTACATGGCCAAAAGTGTGTGGAGACATTGTAACTCTTTAACATGTCACTCTATAATCGTGAGTATTAATCTGCTGCTATAACAGCCTCCTCTTCTGAGTTCAGGCTTTCCACAGGATTCTACAACCTGGCTCCAGGGATTTGATCCCATTCAGCCACAAGAGCATTAGTGAGGTCCAAGACTGATGTTGGATGATAAGACCTGGCTCACAGTCAGTGTTCCAGTTCATCTCAAAGGTGGTAGATGGGGTTAAGCTCAGGGCTCTGTGCAGGCCAGTCGAGTCCTTCTACACCAAACAGGAAAAACAGTTTTTTTACAGACAGTGTTTGCTTCTTAAGTTAGAAGCACACTGCAGTTCATGTATAAAACATCATTGTCATGCTGTAGCAATAATATTTGCCTTCATTGGAACAACGAGTCCAAACCATGAAGAACAACCCCAGATCAAAAGCATATACACCTGAGTGTCCACATACAGCTAGTGTATACTATGATTGAACATTGTTATTGCCCACAGACTTACATTCGACCAAATGTAGCCAAAACTTGAAATGACTTTGGTAACGCATTCTGTTACAGAAAATGATAAACGTTGAAGTAATTTAGCTTTTCCTGGAAAAAAGTTCTGATCAATATTTCGCGGATTAACTAATAAATTATTAATAAAGTTACTATTTTCGTTCACAGTGACTTGTAAAAAGTTAAACATGTCTGAAAAGTTTGTTCTCTGCTGTTTTCATTAGCAGCTGTTAACTTTACAGCTCTGTCTTAAAGCAATTTAATGTTTTTTTTCACTTGACTGGTTTTACTGGAATCACGGAAATTACTTACATGTGGCTAATTTCCTTTGTCATTAAACAAAAAAAGGGGAGTAGGGGGTAAATGAGGTCAATAAAATTAGCAGATAACCCGTGGTAATTAACACTTCATCAGAGACTTTGTATAAAAAGACTGGACAGACAGTGACTTGAGAGAAACACTGAGACTTAGGCAGGAGCTGCAGTCATACATACAGCATGAAGAATTTATGGATGGATATCACAAGATTGGAATAAAGAAATTAAGATGAAGGCAGTACAATACCGTACACTCTATTTGACTGTTGCTGTCTTTGTACATGATTAATATATAAGGAAAACCTGTCATTAAATTTGAGGTCATTTATACAGAATCCTCTGCATATATGAAGATGTAAGTTTATAAGATTTATTAAATACCCATAAAAAAAATAAAAATTTGAATTATCAAAAATATCTATCATGAATTTTTCTATAGTATATCATGTTGCAAGCCTATATTTTAACAATATATATTTGATATGTCAATTCAAGTTTATTAAAACAATGTACAAATAAAAATTCTATATGCTTATATGTTTTTCTTATTAATTTCTTCTTCTTCATTTTAAACATGTCATTCTCCCCATTCTGGGAAAGTGGTCTCAGACGTTTGGGACCGTCTGTATATGATATAAATATATATGAACAAGCTTTGGGATGGATATATATCTACAATATAAGCATACATACATAAACATACATATTTGTATGGACTAGACATTCATGTAAATTTATGAAATTGGAATTTCTTATAGGTTTTATCTATAATTTTTACATATGGTTTTGTTTTGTATGTACATAGATTTCATATATGGAAATTCAATATATGTGCATATGTTACATTTGCATATACTGTATACTGTACACATCAGAGTACTACAGCTGGTTTTATCGATCAGATACTCGACTGTGATTCCAACAGAGACTATAAGACGCTCTGTTAAATCATCCACTAGATGGTGTTAGAGGATCAACATATGTGAAACTGCAGTATCAATATTCAGCTCAGCTCCTATTGGAGCTACAGGATAATACATCAAATACAAGTATATATTATCAGCAGGTACGCATACTGACAGTTGTTCTATATTTTCATTCATCTTCATCATATCTCTGTATGAAACCTATAGTGCTGTCATTAATTTTCAAGAGGATGATGTTGAGAGACTTTATTCCCTGTTTTGATCAACAGCTAAGAGATTTGAATGGGAGAAGATTGGAGTTACCAGAACCTCAAGGTATTTGTCATGTTTGTTTTATTCATTCATCCATCAACTTTTAGACTCAGAGATGAAATTAAAAGAAACACAAAAAGTCAAACAAAAGAAATAACACTGCAACAAAAGCAAAACAAGATGTGAGACAGCAAAAACAGACAGCAATTCAAGCAATGTGTCAAAATCAATAAAAATTAAGAACCTTTGAAACTCTCTGCTCTCTCTGCTGCATGAAGAAATAAAATCTGTTACTGAACTCAAACCTTTCTCTTCATATGAAATGTGTTGAGCTCAGTGTTGTGACCATTTCCCTGCGTGACTTTGTCTCAAGCTGCACTAAGCAGGTCACACACTTCTAATGCCAGTTTATTGCATCTAGTATAACCTTTAGGCCAGCTGCGCTTAATGCTGCTAAGAATTCAGTGTTTTTATGGAGATTAAACTCACGCTGAGGTGAGGCTCGCTTTGCAGGAAGACTTTTCAAAATAGTTCTGTAAGGCACACAAAAGATTAGAGTTATTTAGCTTATTATTAGAACAGCTAAAAAATAATCATGTAAAGACATAAACATGAGGAGAGGCTGAAGAAACAAAGATGAACTTGTGACAGTTAACCGAAAAATGAAAAACAAAATGATAAGATAATATAGATCAAAATGAAATGCTCTCTTGGATTTCTCTCATTCAGGGGAGTGAATGGTCTCTGATACCAGGTCAACGTCGGACAGTTGTCTCATAGATGTTTCTTGCTGGAAAATGGCTGGAATTTCAATAATGAACTGGAGCTGGTTACTGTGGTTGTTGGTATTCCTAATTAGTGCTTGTTCTGTTTTGAATGGACTGTGCTACTTATTGTTTCATTGCATAGCTGGTTAGACGAACAGTCATATCAGCAACAGCGAGAAGCTTTTCAGCATGTTGTGAATTTTGCATAAGGGCCAAAATGTATTTCCTCCGGCGACAGGGAGGGTTGGGACTGAAAACTGAACTGAAACATGAAATGTCTGGTGAGATTATGGGTTTTTGTTTATATATTATTCAGTCAGATATTTAGTGATTTTTGCTTTGTGTTTATACATTTAACATGTGAGACTTTCACATTGTTAAAGCTGCTATAATCAGTATTTTCAAGAACCCCACAGATTATCGTCACCTGACTGCAGTTCTCTCTTCTCTCTTCCACCCTACATAACTCAAGTATAGTATAGTATAGTATAGTATAGTATAGTATAGTATAGTATGGTATGGTATAGTATAGTATAGTATAGTATAGTATAGTATAGTATGGTATAGTATAGTATAATATAGTATAGTATAGTGTGGTTTAGTATAATATAGTATAGTATAGTATGGTATGGTATAGTATAGTATAGTATAATATAGTATAGTATAGTATGGTTTAGTATAATATAGTATAGTATGGTATGGTATAGTATAGAAGCTCATTGTCTTGGTTTTCTGACCCCCAACTTTATTGTTTTTTACTCTCCACGCTCTCGCTGCATCATTTTCAGTTGCAGCATGCAGCTTTTTTCTGCTGCTTGTGCAACACCAAACTGGAGACAGAACAAACCAGCAACTAACTAGTGAACACAGAAGAACATTTAACAGCTAAAGAGCCAGATTTTTTTTCTCAGGGAGATTTTTCTAGAGACCAAAAAACAAGCTAAAAGAGAATCAATAGAGGACTTATATTTACCAGGTGGCCAAAAACACAACATCAAATAAACAGAGCAATTCCAATAGGGTCCTCACACTAGATCATGTCACGACTGAACAAGGAAGTGAACCCAAACGCACGACTCAAGACCAAAAGATCCAAAAATAAACAATCTTTATTGATAAAGTAACAACAAAAAAACACTCTCTTAGGAGGCAAAAAACTACTAACAAAAAATCGCTCTTGATAGAGGAAAAACACGTTCATGAGAAAATAACAAGGATAACACAAAAATTCAAAGGTACCTGACGTGGCTTGGCTATGGTGTGAAATGGCTTGGCTGACTGTAACAAACAAGATGAACTAGCACGGGACAAAGGGAGACACAGACTCTAAATACACACAAGGTAAGGGGACACAGGTGGAGACAATCAGGGAGGGGCAGGCAATCAGACAGGCGGGACACACACAGGGGGGAAGGAGCCAGTTATCTGAAACGAGAGGGAAGTAAGATTTCAAAATAAAACAGCATAAAGACAGGACAACACAAAAGTAACTTAACATAATTTCTTGGACATGACAGATCAGTCAGATCAATGCTAATGTTGCTGTGCTAGATGTGTAAATTATCATTTCTTTTTCCCAATAGGTTCACTATATAAACTAAAAAGGTGCTATGTCAGTGTTGTGTTCACAGCTTTGTTTTCCACGGTCCCCAAATGGACAAAAAATCTTATCTAATCTGCAAATTTAAATCAGAAATAAAAAGGTTGTGTTTGTATTCTTGTCTCGCAGAAAGTATCTGAACCAAATCTCAGGTTTTGTATTGGCATTTAGTAGCCTATTGGAAAATCAAACAGCAGCTATCCCTAGCATGGATGTATTAAAAGAACTGAGATAATGTCTTCCAAGATGGGGACCCATTCATCCTACTGAGACATGCTTACTGGGTACATATACACTGAAAATGGGTCCAAAGAACATGCAAGTCAGAGACTTTATTTGGTTGAGCTGGCTGACTTCCTGCTCACTCCCTGTGAATCATTTTAAAGTGTTTGTGATTTTCAGAAGAATTTATTCATCATTTATTCATCAGTGATTCATCATTCATTTATCATTCATTCATCCCTTCCTTTTGTAATAATTGTGTAGGGAAAATATGGCCCAGTAGGTGACATGTGGCCTGCTGTGCCCACTATGCCAAAATTGCCTGTTCCTGGGGGGCTTTATCTCCAGAGTTGACTAGATCCGTTTGCATAAAGACATAAGTTATTGCTTTAGTTCATTTCAGAAGCAGCAACACCATTGATACCTTCAAATGAACCTCCTGCTGCCTGCCAGATTGACCTCCAGCAGCTTTCATTTCTCGATAACTACAGCTCCCTGTGCATTGTCTAACTGTGATTAATAGAAGACAGTTTCAGGGGTCACAACCCTGACGTTCAGCTGGAGCTGTGTGGTGACAGAATGGCACTGACTGCAGAGTGATGAACTGTATGGACAGAGAACAGACGATCAGCATGCAGAGGTACTCTCCCCCCGATCGTTCGATCCAAGGTCCAGATTCAGTCGCACAGGTAATCATACCTTCACTGTCAGAGCTCCAGGACTCTGAGGGGAACCTGTCTGTGGAGCTCAGAGCAGCAAATACTGTTTCTTCTTTAAGCCTCTTTTAAAAACTCAATTTTACAAATCAGTGCAGCCTTCTTCATAATTTTGTTATTTTACTATTTTAACATATTTACTTTTACCTGACCACAGTTTAGTTTTTTTCCTCATCTCTTTCTACATAGGATTCTTTTATCATTTGACTATTTCAGCTCATTCATCAGATACATTTGTTTCACTGTTTTAATACTTTGTTTCTATGTGTTTGCAATATGTATGTTATACTGCCAGGACTAGCAAGGCAAGTAGTAACTGACCAGTTAAAGCTCAAAACAAACACCAACTACACAGAAGTGAAATCTCTCCTCACACCTCAGAAAGACGTCCTGTTTGCACTGCCCTCTAGTGGCCGCAGTAGGCGGTTGTCTGTGGAAGTTGACTACCAGTCATTGCAGGTCATTCTGGTCGCTTTCATGGGCATGGGCGTGTCGCGTGGACTTGTCAGCCAGAGGAGGGATGTGCATTGTGGATAATCCTGAGATGAGACTAGCTACAGCTAGCTACAGACAAGTGTCCTTGTCACGCTGCCCCCGATTCAGCTTCAACTGTTCTGAGATCAGTTATGTATGCACACATTATTTTACACATGCGCAGATGTGTATGGAAACTGTTGTTGTGCATTAGAAAACTACTTCAACAGTCTTAAGAGGCAGGAGTTAATCATTTTGTAAGGAACGCTTTCGCAGACAATTTATTTCAATATTACAGTTAATTCTGGTCTGCTTTGTGGATATCATATTGACATATTTTCCTTTCTGTTAATCAAGGTGTTAGTTTCTCTGTGCAAGCTCTGCAGTAAGTTTGAGAAGTATGAGACAGGAAAATACAGGATTCTTTGTATTGCATTGTCACTGGAGCGTGTCATGCTCAGTTAAT